ATGTGGCCATACATGGAGGCAGAATGTTGTATACATAATAAATGAATGAATAAATATTTAAAAAAAGAATATTTTTAAAGGCAGTCTAGTCTCTGGGGCATAGAATTTAACACAGTAAAAGGTGACATAAGATGTGAGGTTCTCTCATAGTTGCTTCTGTCTGATAAGGGGAAATGTTGTAGGTCTTGTCTTGAAGGCTGGAACATAGTGGAAACCCATGGAGACCAGGGAAGAGCAGGCTGCCTCAGACTCTGTGAGGCCTGCAGGCAGCCTTGGAGCAGTCTGTGTCAGGAGAATGCAATAGGAATTCCTTGGGTGAGAGGTGCAGATAGAGCTGGAGGGCAAGGTGCAGAGCTGTGGCAAGGAAGCTGCTTACCAATCTCTAACAGCTCTAATGATTATAAATCTGGTGGAATAAATACTTGTTAATGGAAGAATAGAAAGTTAAGGAATCTTAAAGAAGAAACTTTATCTCTTAGGTACACACTTGAAGTTTTTAAGTGCACAGTTTTGGCAGATTAGAAAAAGGCAAAGCAGGCAGGTAGACAGGGAATTTCCTCTTCCCCCCACAAAAGAATTAGGAAGGTCAAAAAAGAAATTACAAACAATTAATTCTTAGCTGAGTTTATTTTTACTTGTGACAACATTGCTGGATCTAATTGGATCTTTTGAAGCTCATAAGAATCGTTCTTTAGAGGCAAAAATGTTAGATCTATCAGGTTATTAATATTTGTGGCCTCTATTGAAATCCATATTGTGGAAGAAGCAAAGAAACAGCTATTTTTCAGCTATATTTTATCTATACCTGTAAGGTAAATAACACTTAATAAGAAGACAGTTGAAGAAATAGGTCCTTAGTGTTAGAATAAAAAAATTATTTAGAGTTAAATAAAGACTGTATGTTTAAATTTAAAGAGGGAGCAGCAGCAGGTTTTTTTTCTTGGCTAGTTAGGAGGGCTTGGGAGTGTAGTAGAGTGGCAGGTTGCTGATATCTGAACAAGCTAGGACAGACAGGGAATGAGCAGGGCGGGGGCAGAGACAGCTGTATGGGAGAGTACAGACAATTAGACAGAAGCAGAGAGTAAATAAGCAAGATAAAGTAAGATTTATGTTGTTGTCTTGAATGTCTCCAATCGAAGTGGAAAAATCCTGTAGAGTTTTCACAAGTCATGGGAGAGCATCCTCTCAGGGATTTGGTCTTGGATGGGCTAGCAGGAACTCTCTGTAAGTGGCCATGTATTTTTTGTAAACATAACTCGAGCAGCATAGCCTCACCGAGAAAGAGAGAGAGACAAGTTTTAGTGTTGCAAGAGCAAGAAAAGCTGTAGAAACAGTTTATGCAATGTTGAGAAATCATCATATGGGTTTTTAAAGCAGCTGAAATAGTCTCTCCACAAACCCTAATGTTGTGGGCCTGTTAGTGAAACTTGCTTTTTCATTTAAATGAGAAGCACCAAGGGTAGGTACCTGGGCTGCCTAAAAGACACTTTTAGGGTTCAAAGTACAAGTTTGATCATTTATGTTTTAGCAAGTTACAGTACGGAAATCTTTTCAGAGCAGGCAGGGATATCAACTCCACTTAAGGTCTACTGACTGGCAGCAGTACATTCATTCACTGTGCAGTGTTTGTGGCTCCAACATCCTTTCCTTGTTTCAACTGATTAGAGTAAAAGGTGTAAACAAATGATCTAAACAACCCCTAGAGGCTGCTAATCTTTAGCAAAAGTGCTCTTGGACAAAGGGACAGATGTTTCCCCTGGTTGTTACATAGTTTGCCTTGTTACCCAATACCCTATGCCTACTGGGGAGAAAACCAGTTCAATAAAAGGCAGATTTGCCTTGCTCCTATTTTTTATTAATTATAAACCCATTACCTGATGTAGGTATGCCTTCTGTCTATGTGTTATTTTCATTGGTTAATAAAGAGACTGCCTTGGCCTTTGATAGGACAGAAAATTAGGTAGGTGGAGTAAACAGAACAGGATGCTGGGTAGAACAGTGAGGCAGACGCCATAGCTCTCCTCTCCGAGATGGACACAGGGTAGAATCTTCCCTGTAAGCCACCACCTCATGGTGCTACACACATTAATAGCAATGGGTTAATCCAGATGTGAGAGTTAGCCAGTTAGAGGCTAGAGCTAATGGGCCAAGCAGTGTTTAAAAGGATACCATTTGTTCGTTGTTATTTTGGGTGAAAAGCTAGCTGTGCAAAAGCTGGGCAGGACAAAAATCAGGCCTGTTCACCTCATCACTACAATTAACTTCTTATCTAATCACTTAAGGGTATAGTGTAGCATACAAGTCCCCCCTTCTTAGATTTCACTGTTAATTTCATCTCTTCCTTAATAAACCTCTCCACTCATTATCCACAGCCACTTAGATTCATAAAGTAAGCTGGAGGCTACTGTTTTGAGTGTAACAATCCTTAATTGTCTTTTATGGCCCTGAAGGAATTCCAGTTCTGGACTCTGATAGGGATGGAGAATTGAGAATTATAAGTGTATAACAACTGAAAATCTTTGCAGCATGGGAGAACAAGAAAGACAGAACAATAAGGAGACATACATGCTTAGGAAAAAATGCCAGTTAGTGGATGCATTTTTTACTTTTAAAGATTTCCTTCATGAGTTGTAATGCTTTAGCTGTTTCCTAAAGGGATCTGAGGGGCTATTACCCCCAAAAGACCCTATTTACTGCCCTTACTATGATCAGAAATTTTTTTCAAAATGGTGACTCCAGAAATTCACTGCCTTCCTTATTCCCCACCACCACGTGGTGTACTCGGTAAACTGTTCCTCCTGTTCTACTCTGAAGGAGAAACCAGGCTCCATATGCAAATTCTTTTCCTGTTACTTCAGTGGACCATTGACTATATGACTCAAATGGGTAATTTTAAATTCAGTGGTGTTGTAGTCATTTAATGTAAGGTTATATTTGGCTTACTGAAAAGAATAGGAAAATCTGAGCTCTTCAATTGTTAGGACAAGGCTGCCTTTTCCTCTAAGAGGGCTGGCTAGATTTTCAAATCACAGTTGCTTCTTTCCAGATCCAGAAGGAGTTCAGAATAACCAGACCTGCCCTCTGTCTGTCTCAAGACTTTATTATATTTTTGGTATGTGGGTGTTTGCCTGCCATTTTCTGTGCACAGTACCTAAGAGGCCAGAAGAGGGCATCAGAACCCTTGGGACTGGTGATACAGGAGATGGTTAGCTACCATTATTTCTTGCAATGGATCCTTTTCCTCTTCAACAACAGACAGTGCTCTTAGCTGATAAGTTGTCTCTACAAATGCTTTTTTTATTTAGAATTTATTTTTATACATTTTACTTAAAACATATTATATCACTTTTACCCTTCTTTGTTCACTCTTCACTTTTTTATAAATTATTTCCTTCCATTTTTCTCCTCATTAAGCATGTGTTACTAGTAAGTGAGTACAAATACGTGTATAAAACCTGCTGAGGCCATTTCTGTTGGTTGTGTATACTTAGTTCCAGGGCTGAAATACTCAGTTATTTAGCTCCTCACTGCCCAAATGAAATTCTCCCACTTAAAAAAAATTCTAGTCGTTAATGAACAAAATGATGTGTCCCCACAGTGACCTAGGCTCTCTTGGGTAGGAAACATTATCAAAATTAGAAAACCCTTGGTGCAAATACCCCATCAGACCTTTGCTGGTGTAATTAATGACTCTGAAGTTCTAGCCTGCAGTGAACACTCTGAACACTGATCTAAGCCAATCACAGTCTTCCTTGGAACTCCGGGCCTCCCTTCACATCCTTTTCACCATTCTCATCTCAGAAAACTTAAAAATCCAGAAGTTCCTGCCACCACTTTCTAAGTACACGACTATATGTCTGTGCCACCATGTTTGACCTAGATTGCTCCAGCTTCAATTATTCAGGCATAAAAAGATGGGATGAATAAAAAGAACATTGAGTTAACTTCTTTATAATAGCACTTTTCTCATTGAAACTGAGTTTGTCTATCTTTAGAATAAATTCAGAACTATGTGCTAGTCCCTTGATGAGTTATAAGAAACGCAATGATAAAGAAAAACTTTGTTTTTAATAGCTGAAAAACTGTAGACCTTAAGGAAGGATAGTATTTGATGGGAGCCATCCTGTGACTAGAATTAGGACTTCTTTTTAAGTACCAGGATTTCTTGAAAATCTTCACGTCATTTGAATTCATCACCATTCAAGTCTCCCAATTGAAAGTTTTACAGTCATCAGGAGAGCAGACTATGAGCACATTCAGAAAAGTTATTCTTCATACCTGCAAGTTCCCTTTCTCTCCTTACAGGAGGCATAAACTCCAGCAGGTTCCACCTGCCCTGTGTACTTCTGGTATCCCATTGCTGACTATTTACCAACTTTCAGCTAAACTCTGTTTTGTGGTTTCATTAAGGGTCTGTCACTTTAAAGAAACTTGTATTTTCAGTTTCTCTCCTGAAAATCTTTTCTACTCTTCCATTATTTTATGGAGATTTGGGCTCAAAGACATCTTTGTGCATACTTCTAAGTTGGTTTCTGATGCTGTCGATCTTGTATTTCTTTTGGGTCATAAAAAGTGAGGCAAAGATGGACTCAGGTTCCCACATTCACACCTTAATGCTATAATGACATCTTCACTAGGCTGAATAGGTGGCTCAGCAGATAAGAGCACTGGTTGCTTATCCACAGGGCCTGACTTTGTTTCCCAGAACCCACAAAACAGCTCACAATTCTCTCTAACTACAGTTAAAGGGAATCAGATACCCTCTTATGGCCTCCACTTTTACCTCCACTTTTGCACTCGGTATATACAATGACAAACTCAAGTCATCAGATAGCAGCAACAAACTTTATGTACTAAATGAGAAATATTATGGTATTCACTGAGGTTCTGAGGAAATGTTATGAACAAGTGGTTAGTCCTAAGGATAACACATTCTACAAAAAAAGGAAGAACAAAAGAAGAGATATCAGTTTCTCATTTTCAATCAACAATAGGTTTTATTATTTAAATTGTTTCCTCTATTTTTCAATGACATGTTAACAACCTGAAAAAAAGGCAACATTTTCGTGGTAGAATGTTTCAATTAATCTGGGTGCAGATTTAGTGGGAATTGTGTGTGGTGTGCAAGTCTGGAAACCGAATTTTGATCACCATATGAAGAGAGCAAAAAATCCACCTCAGAAAGTTGTCTTATGTTCTTCACATAATTGTCAGGCTTAAAATTCCATAATCTTATCACACATACATATAACAGAAACTTTTTTTCAAATAAATCTTAATGATGTTACATTACCTGGCATCTCTGGATAATTCCCTTAGAAGGAAGCACTTCATGACGAAGTGACAAATGGATAACTAATGCAGACAGGAAGATGCATAGAACTTCAAATAATGAATACCTATCCACAGGACATCAAGCTACATTGTGAAATATTCAGTTGGTTACTGATTATCCTACATTTTACATCTCTACCATTTGGATGAAAATGATGCTGTCCAGTTTTTTCTGCTCTCATGGAAGCTCAAGTAGTGCAGGTGGAGAGACGTAGGAGGCTGGCGTGGAAAAGGTTGAGAAGCTCACATCCAGTGCCATGGCAACAGCTGAGAAGCTTGCACTCAGCCAGCTTTGTCAATGCTGCCACAGGCAATGCTTCCTCTGTCCTGAGCAGGAGGCACCTGCCTCCCTCTGCCAACTGTCTTGTGTGGCCTCTGAACAGCCAGGGACATCTGACGAACATAAAGTCTGGTTAATCTTTCAGCATTTTGCTCTAAAACCAGATTTCAGATGGCCACGTGAACACTGCTACACCCCACTGTGATATTTTCTGTAGGTGGCCCATGACACCTACTACATCTACTTAAATGATAGGTGAGATTTGTTATCCTAAATATAATTCATAATTTGCTGATTGAAAAGGGCAATATGTCAGAAAGCCTAACCGTCCAAGGTTTCAATAGCCTCTTCACTTAACACCATGTGCAAGGTTTTACAAGATGTATATGACGTCCCTCTACATCACTATTTTTATTTCTGAGGCTTAGACTTGTCCTCAATACTTTTTCTTTTTTTAAATATTTATTTATTTATTTATTGTGTATACAATATTTTTTCAGCATGTATGTCTGAAGGCCAGAAGATGGCACTAGATCTTATTCTAAATGGTTGTGAGCCACCATGTGGTTGCTGGGAATTGAACTCAGGACCTTTGGAAGAGCAGGCAATGCTCTTAACCTCTGAGCCATCTCTCCAGCACCGCAGTATGTGTTCTTTTATGTTTTTAGACTACTGAGTTGTGAAAAGGCCTTATCACATTGATTACATTCATAGGGTTTCTCTTTTGTATGGATTCTTTTATGTGTTTTTAGACTACTGAGATGTGAAAAGGCCTTATCACATTGATTACATTCATAGGGTTTCTCTCCTGTATGGATTCTTTTATGTGTTTTTAGACTACTGATACATGAAAAGGCTTTACCACATTGATTACATTCATAGGGTTTCTCTCCAGTATGTCTTCTTTTATGTCTGTGAAGCTCACCATGACTTGCAAAAGCTTTATCACATTGATTACATTTATAAGGTTTCTCTCCAGTATGTGTCCTTTGATGTACTCGAAGATTACTGTTCTGTGAAAAAGCTTTACCACATTGATTACATGTATAGGGTTTCTCTCCAGTATGTGTCCTCTGATGTACTCGAAGAATACTGAGTTGAAAAAAGACTTTACCACATTGATTACACGTGGAGGTTTTCTCTCCAGTATGTTTTCTTTTGTGAAGTTGGAGATTACATTGATGTGCAAAGACTTTACCACATTCATTACATTTATAAGGTTTCTCTCCAGTATGTGTCCTTTGATGTACTCGAAGATTATTGTTACGTGAAAAGGCTTTACCACATTGAATACATGTGTAGGGTTTCTCTCCAGTATGTGTTCTTTCATGTATTTGGAGTTGAGAGGGTTTTGTAAAAGTTTTATCACATTGATTGCATTGATAAGGTTTCTCTCCAGTATGTGCTCTTTTGTGAACTTGAAGATTTCTGACATATGAAAAGTTTTTACCACATTGATTACATATATAGGGTTTCTCTCTAGCATGTGTTCTTCTAAGTATTTGGAGACAAGTGGTACCTGCAAAGCCTTCATCATATTGAATAATATCATATGACTTCTCTTTAGAATGATTTTTTCCATGGCTTTGAAGATGACTGTAACATGCAAAGGCTTTATCATATTGAGTAAATACAGAAGGTTTCTCTACATTATGGTTTCTTTCATTCCTGTGAAAATAATAGAGACATGTAAAAGTTTTAGCATGTACATAACACTGATGCATTTTAATATCTGTATGAACTAATTTTATAAATTTGTTTTACTGTAAAAAGGAATCAGATTTTGAGTTTTACATTCGTGGTGCTCTCCTTCAGTATGAGATGTTTTGTGTCTTTGAAGAACCTTTGATGGTAAGGGTTTTTTTTTTTATAAATGACCCGCATTTATAGTATCATTTTAAATAAGATTTTTTTTTTACATATATGAATGGAATGAGACTAACTCAGTTTTAAATAAACTTACATTCTTTTTGGATTCTTATGTTTTCCTGTAGTGCAGTACCTACCACAAGAAAGTGTATGAGGACAAACAAAAGTAAGTGCACAGTCCAACACTCATAGGGCTTATCTTCAGTGTGAGTTTGCTGATGTCTTCCCAAGAAAGTTTGAAAACAAATTAAATATAATCATATAGCACACTCAACAAATCTAGCCAGTGTGGAAATACAAAACATCTTTCTTATCTTCTCATTATTCTGAAAGAGATACAGTCCAGCTTTCCATTTTGGTAAGCTCACTTGTGACATATGACATTGTTATTAAAGGAAGAATTGTCCATTGAATTCACACAGTTTGACATTTTGTAATTGGCAGACATGTGGTGTAGGGATTAATGTTTCTCCACAAGAGCCTTTTTGACTCTCATGACCCAACTCTTTCAACAAGTTTGGCAAAGTCACAAGTACATGAGTAATATCGCTTTACAACAGAGTATTTTTGGGACGTTTTAAACATATACTTATTATCTATTCAATGTGTCTATGTGTGTTATCTTACTGGTATGAAACTAAATGGATTAGCAGCTCTACAGCACAATTCTCAAGGTAGTATCAGTTAAGACATTGTTTCCTTCTCTTCTGTTTAGAGGAATGCACACACCATATACCTCATATTGAGGCATATGATTTTATGATAAATCAATAATCAACCATATACTTTATGGCATGCTTATTTGTACTATTTTTTTTCTTTAGGTCTTCCAGGACAAATTAAAATTTCTTCAGAGACAAATGTACACCAAGTTGCAAATGAAAGTTACCTTCCATGTTTTCTAGCACTTTGACAATGCTCCTCAAAATTATGGTCTTCCCAACTGTAGCCTAAAATATAGGAACAGAAAGTAGATAATATATTAAAGGATATTGTACAAAATTGAATACCTTAAGTGAACTATGCCTTAGTTATTTGGCTCATTCTTACTCTTTCTCAAACACAAATATATAAAAGTATCAACAAATAATATTTTATTTTAAAATGTAAAGGAAAGTTCACAATCGTACCAGTAGCGGCGAGGTTCCTGTATGTCTCCAGCATCACATCTTTGTAGAAACTCTTCTGGGAAGAATTTAGCAAAACCCATTCATCCTCAGTGAAGTCAATGTGAACATCCTCATAGGTCACTGAATTCTAGAAGAATCCAATCAACAATAAAACAAAGTGTGATCCTGACATTCGATACTTCTTTTACAATGATATATTTGTATATTGCTGCTGCTTCCCACACTTCTGCCATGCCATTGCATTAGAATATAAACAAATATCACTATAGAAGAAAACTGAAGAAGAGGCACATATGTGCCATTCATTGGCCTTTTAAAAAGGATACAGCCTTGAGAAAGAAATGCCAGTAAACAGACATACAGAGACAGACAAGCAAGCAGATCAACACTACTGAGAAAACATTACAGAAATAAAAAGACCAATGATTATCTAGAAAAAGGATGGCAAAATTGGGTATATTCACTTGTGACTTTAATCCCAGTGATCAATGTAAAAGCAGATGAAATAAATTTAGTTGGATGTCAGTCAAAGCCTATGCAATGACTTGCAGGTAAGCCAGAGTAACAAATTAATAAAACCCAGTATCCATCCATAATCATTTAAATAAAAAAAAACGTAAAAGGAAATCAGAGGTTTTAAATGAAGTTCTTAAAAAAAGTTTTGTATTTACTTTAATTCTACATTCATCTTCCAGAACTTGCAGTGGCCCAGGTTAAACTGTTCCATAAGAAGATCTTAAAAGGGAGTGCATGTTTAACACTTACAAGTGGACCAAAGAAAACTTCAACCCTGCAAATGATGATCATAAACAACATAGATTAAGGGGGATGGGTCAGCAATTCAGCGGTCTTGCTGTCCTTGCAGATAAATGGGCACAATTACCAGTACTAAAAGGGACTTGTAATTATCCATTACTTCAACTTCATGGGTTCTGACGCCTCTTGTGACAACCATGAGAAACAGGCATGCCTGTGGTACATAACCTTGTATATAGATACAACCTTATATTCATTGAAAGTATTCAAAACAAAATAAAAATAGAGGCAGGTAGAAAGTCACACCCCTGCAGTGCAAGGATTCAGATGGCAGAGGTATTGATGTCATGGATACTACTCTCCTGGGAAAGGAAATGATACCCTCCACCAAACTTCAAATTTCAAAAAGTTCAGCATCGGAACTTATTCTTGAAATGTACAAAAACCAATATTCCAGGCTCATCAAACAGTAAAAGAATACAGAAAAATAACAAGCATGTTGCTCCACCATTAATCCCTCTGTGCAGTAGCCAGGATCATTTCTATTTCTGAGTTGAGAACACCATGGTCTAAGGAAATACATTGAGGACCAAGAGCTACACAGAAAAAACATTGTCTTTCAAAAACAAAAGTAAAAACCAAAAATTAAAATAGAAATCAGGATAGCAAAAGGCTTAAGTGTGAACAGAAATTGCTTCAACTGCATGTTTTGTCATAGAGTGATACCATCTATAATGGTGGTGAAGTCATAACATCAGGACACACATAACCAGAAATGGGTTCAGGCTATGAACATTTAAATCCAATCTTCAATATAGGAATTTCATCCAAAAGATTTCTCCTACTCAATGTTCTACAAATACAACAAAGAAGAGCACCCTGAAGAGACAACTTTTCAACCACTTCTTCTAATCTGGGACCTTTTCCTTCGATCAACTACATTCTGACCCTGATGCATAAATATTCATAGTCATCCCATGATTAAAACGTATTTACTCTAACTTCAATGACTGTCATAGGCTGGAACAGTTCCTGAAGTGTTTCAATGTGAAGTCTCTTATAACAATCATGATATTGACTTGACTTGGCCATAACCCAGACCAATAAAGCCACACCGAATTATGCCGCTCACTCCCTAGGAGATTATTGGGTCTCACTACATTCAAACTACCAGAGTGGTTTATCTGAGTCTTAAGATAGATAGATAGATTCCCAATTATCTGAGGTACTGCCATATTGGTTACCATAGTGGCTATACAGGTTTACATTCTCAGCAACAATGGGGGAGTGTTTCTTTTTGTCCATATTTTTGCCAGTATGATATGTCACTTGTGTTATTGATCCTAGCCAATCAACGTTCTACTTATTCAACATTTTTGTCAGCATGAGTTTTCCATTATGTTATTGAACCTTGCTATTCTGACAGGTATAAGGTGAATTCTAAAAGCTCTTTTGATGTACATTTGATTGATGGCTAAGTTTATTGAACATTCAGTTAAGTGTTTCTAAGACAGTTTAGATTCATCTATTTAGAATTCCTTGTTTAAATCTGTACCATAGTTTTATTCAATTAATTTTTTCTAGATATGTTGCTTGGGGTCTTTTGCTTCTGATCAAGTACATCGAAACTACATAGACAAACATGATGTGTACTTACTGTAAGTGGATATTAGCTGTTGAATCAAGACTAATTACTGTTCAATCCACAGACCCAGATAGGGTAAGAGACAAAGATGGCTATAGCAGGGGGTGCATGGATCCCAAAGATTCTATTAAATAGACTAGATTTTGTGGGAGTACACAGAGCAAGTAGAGAAATAATCCTAAGAGTAAATGTAGGTATGTAGGGGGAAACACAGCAAGAAATTAATAGAATAAGAAAGCTTTTAAGGGTTGATGTTAAAACAGTACAGTAACAACTTTCTGCAATCTTTGAGGGTGATTATAGTGAGGACTCCCTATAACTCAGAAATATGGAGCCTGTACTGGCAATCTTCTGTAATCACATATGGTTCCCAGTAGTGGGACTATAAAACCAAGCCATCCACAAAATATTCGACACACACTTGTGGTGTATGGAAGATATATCAGGAAAATAGTGGCTTAATATTTGGGTAGTGGGGCTGGAGAGATGGCTCAGGCGTTAAGAGCACTGATTGCTCTTCCAGAGGTCCTGAGTTCAATTCTCAGCCACCCCATGGTGGCTCACAGCCATCTGTAATGAGATCTGGCGCCCTCTTCTGGTGAGTAAGCATGTAGACAGATAGAACACTGTATATATAATAAATAAATAATGAAAAAAAAAGGATTTGTGTAGTGGATAACCAATGACTGGCCCAAATTGAGGTCCAACATGGCCAGGAAGAGCACCTAGATGAGCAGGATCCAGAAGTTAAATGGCTCAAAGAACTAGGGTAGAAACAAATACAAGTAACAATAAAGAAAAAAGTCAATGTAATGAAACCTAATTCCATGTCCAATAGCTCTCCAGGTTTCCAATCCTGTTCAGCTTTGTCAAAAACATCACACTTTTTTTCTTTGGCTGGTTCCATTGCACATTAGAAGCTCTCCTTGGCAGGTAACCTATGACCCTGAGATCTCTAACATCTTGGATAATTAAAAAATTCCAACTTTCCAACATTAAGGCCCACTCAAGATCTTCAGTACCCTTCCATAGGCTTTGGGTCAATACACTGACTCTGCCCTCTGCAGTACACACACCTGGTCTTCTAGAC